ATATGCATTGACCCACGTCACTTTAGTTTTGTGTATTTCACTGTACATAAATTATATTTCAATATTTCAATAAAATGCATTAAAAAAAAAAGAAGTAGTTGATGTTCAACCATGTCAGGAGGTAACATAATATGATCAAGAACCAATGGTATTGAAGAAAGAAGTCCAAGCTGCACTGAAGGAACTGGTGAAAAACAAGGCTCCAGGAATTGACAGAATACCCACTGAGATGTTTCAACAAATAGATGCAGTGCTGGAAATGCTCACTCATTTATGCCAAGAAATTTGGAGGACAGACACCTGGCCAACAGACTGGAAGAGATCCATATTTGTGCCTATTCCAAAGAAAAGTCATCCAACAAAATGTGGAAATTACTGAATAGTATCACTAATATTGCATGCAAGTAAAATTTTACTGAATAGAATTCAAAAATGGTTGTAGCAATACACTGACAGGGAACTATCAAAAATTCAACTGGATTCAGAAGAGGATGTGGAATGAAAGATATCATTGTTGATGTCAGATGGATTTTGGCTGAAAACAGAGAATACCAGAAAGATGTTTACCTGTGTTCTACTGACTATGGAAAGACATTCGACTATGTGGATCATAACAAATTATTAATAACAGTGTGAATTCCGGAACACTTAACTGTGCTCCTGAAGAACCTATATACCAACCAAGAGGTAGTCATTCAAACACAACAAGGGAATACTGCATGGTTTAAAATCAGAAAAGGTGTACATCAGGGTTGCATCCTTTCACCATACTTATTCAATCTGTATGCTGAGCAAATAAGCTGAGAAGCTGGACTACATGAAGAAAAATGTACCACTAGGATTGGGAGAAGACTCATCAACAACCTGTGATATGCAGATGACACAACCTTGCTTTCTAAAAGTTAAGAGGACTTGAAGCACTTACTGATGAAGATCAAAGACTACAGCCTTCAGTATAGATTACACCTCAACATAAAGAAAACAAAAATCTTCACAAACTTAACCAATAAGCAACCTCATGATTAACATAGATAAATCAATGCCCATGGAAGAAGCAGTCAGGAAATCAAAAGACATACTGCATGGGGCAAATTACTGCAAAAGACCTCTTTTAAAGTGTTAAAAAGATGTCACCTTGATGGCTAAGGTGCACTTCACCCAAGCCATTGCGTTGCAGAAGAATTGATGCATTTGAATTGTGGTTTTGGAAAAGAATATCAAATATACCACAGACTGCCAGAAGAATGAAGAAATCTGTCCAGGAAGAAGTACAGCTGAATGTCACTTAAGAAGTGAGGATGGTGAGACTTTATCTTACATACTTTGGACATGTTATCAGGATGGACCAGTCCCTGGAAAACAACATCATGCTTAGTAGAGGGTCAGTGAAAAAGAAGAAAACCTTCAATGAGATGGAGTGAAATGGTGGCTGCAACAAAGGGCCCAATCATAGCAACAATTTTAAGGGTGGTACAGGATCAAGCAGTGTTGTCTTCTGTTGTACTGGGGTTGCTATGAGTCAGAACCCACCGAACAATACCTAATAACAACAAGAAGAATGAGAATTTGTCCTTTTTTTGTCTGCCTCTGCACGAAGTCATAATTATGAACAACCTTAGCAGCCTCTCCCCTGTTCTGGTTTTGTCTTTAGCATATTTTAGTAAATTATGTAACTCTCTCCTTCAAATTGACATGACAGGCCAGAAAGTTCAGCGATATAGGTTGGTTTTTTTTTTTGAGTCTAACTGTTTTTTGGCCTAACTGTTGCAAAGTCAATACCACCCATACATGGCCAGCTCAAGTCACTAAATGCTTCTTCAGCTTCTCTGAGCCCAGGTCTAGAGCCTTAGGGATTAGACCAAGCATCTGCTATAAATTTAAAACATTAAGAAACACATACACAAAAATTCAATAGGCAGCAAAAGGAGATTTTCTTGTCATGTCTTATGATCTATCTTCTACACAATGAGAACTGAAAATAGGGCACTTCCCTTCCCCTCTCGCCTCTGTTGCAGAGCATGAATAACATCGTGCTTACGGTAAGAGGTTAAAATGCAACTTGTTCAAACTGCCAGTAATTACAGAAATAATCCAAATTCTAAATGTTTAATGAGTGTCAGCAATTTGCCTCTAATTGCTTTTACCTAGGAATCCCAGCTGGAAAGAATGCCTTACCTAGCTATACCAGAGGCTCGGGATAACAGCACACATAGCAGCAGCACTAACACCCATAGCAGGGCCAAGATGAACACACCTGCACCCACTCCGAGCACAGTGCCAGCCATTCTGTGGAAGAAAAGGCACATTAGCACCACAGCTCAGGCTCAATCCTGCGCAAGCAGCATCAAGTGTCCTCTGTGCTCCAGTTACTGCCTGCCTTCCTCACACTTCCAATTTTTATTGAGGCAGGCAGACAAATACAAAATGCCCAAATCCATCATGGAGAAGTTTTTTGAAGATTGTGAATACAGGTCATTAATCTTCAGAAATGTCTAGTTCCAGAGTCCCCTAACAACAAAAACCCACAACCCACTGCCTTTAAGTCGATTCCAACTCATAGCTACCCTGTAGGACAGAGTAAGGCCATAAGTCCTTCCATTTTTAATTTTTTTAGTGAGTTATTTCTTTTTACTCTTTTCCTTAGGTGCGTATGTATGCAGTATACATATATTGGGAGCTCTGGTAGCATAGTGTCTAAGGCACTTGATTGCTAACCAGAAGGCTGGAGATTCAAACCCCCCAGCCACTCCTCGGAAGGAAGGTTGGGCAATCTACTTCCGTAGTGATACTGCCTCGGCAACCCAAGGAGGGGTCACTATGAGTTGGGTCCGACTTAATGGCACATAACAACAACAACATACATATATTAAAATGCTGGTCTCTTTAGGCATTCTTCTTTTTTATTATGATTTGGGTGAAAGTTTACAAGAAGAAAAAATGGTTTTCCATTCAACAATTCATTCACATTTTGTTTTGTGACACTGATTACAATCCCTACAGTGTAACAGCACTCTTCTCACTTCCTCCCTGTTTACTGTTTGTTCTTCTTTCCTATTCCTTCCTCCTTCTGAGTTTTATCCCTGGGCAAAAGCTCTCCTTTGATCTTGGATGCACTGTTCTAAGGAGTGTGTACCTCCTAGGTGTTTTTGTTCACTTTATAGGTCTGTCCCTTGTTTGGCAGAAAGATTTGGGGTGGGGGAATGAGTTCAGTCCAAGGTTTGAAGGGTGTGTAACGGCTATAATCTTGAGGGTTTCATCATTCTTTATCAAAATAGTAAGCCCAGTCTTTTCAAATTTTGAGTTTTGTTCTACATTTTTCTCCCACTCTGGGACCTCCTATTCTGAGCCCTTTCAGAGCTATTGACAGTGGTAGCAAGGCACCATTTATTTTTTCTGGTCTCAGGGTGGTGGAGACTGGGGTTCAAATGGTCCATTGGTCCTTTGGACTTTTTCCTTGTGCCTTTGATTACCTTTCACTTTTCTTTGCTCCATATGGAGAGAGATCAATGGTTACACCTATGATGGCTGTTCACAAGCTTTTAAGACCCCAGTATTACTCACCAAAATAGGATGTAGAACATTGTTTTTGTGGACTAGTTAGTAAATACTAAGTGACCTTGATATTCCCCAAGACTGTGGTCCTGTGCTCTCAGGCCCAGTGACGCATTCCCTCAAGGAGTTTGGTTATAGCTGAGAAGTTTTCGTAACATTGCCTCCTATATCCTCTACTATATTCATGGATATATTTGCAGTACATATAAATACATACATACAAATATCCTCTGTCAAACCTATATATATTCATGGATGTGTCCCCATTTGCTTTCCTACACCTACTCAGGCTGCATGTCTATCTATGTACCTACTCATAGATTATTAGTATTTCCGTTATTTGCAGGATTGTGTATGTAAAGGTATTTACCATTGTTGTCTTTAACTCATGTGCTCCTCCCGGTGTCTTCCTCTGCCTTGATCATTTTTGTTAACCTCCCCCTCATTGCATATTGCCTTCAAGGCTTTAAGTCATTATGGAAGCAGACTGCTACATCTTGCTCTTGCAGAACAGCTGATAGGTTGAACAGCCAACTTTTTATATAGCAGTCAAGTGTTTAACCACTGAGCCACCAGAGTTCCTCAAGTTCTTTAATAAATCTAAAACCAAATTCACTGTCATAGTCAATTCCAACTCATAGTGACCCTTTAGTGACCCTGTAGAACACAGCAGGACTGCCCCACAGGGTTTCCAAGGCTGTACATCTTTACAGAAGCAGACTACCTCATCTTGGAAACCCTATGGGGGTTGCTATGAGTCAGAACTGACTTGATGGCAGTGGGTTTGGTTTTTGGGTTTGCCATGTAAAGCACTGTGCTGAAAGCTAGGGATCATGAAGGTACATAAGACACACCTTCTAACTGACAGGGGCCTGTGGTCTATTGGAGAAAATAGTCATTAAATAGCTAGCCACTACATTCTGACAAGGGATGAAAACAAGTGCTATGGAAACAGAGAGGAGATAGCGAGAATGGCTTTTCAAAGGAGTCAGCTTTGCATGGGCACATTTAGGAAAGAATCAGTATGGCAAGTCAACAGAGTAAAGGGAAGGGGCTGGCAAAAATAGGGGTGGCAGGAGAGAGGCTTGGCTCCCACAGCCTCTCTAACCTCACTGGGTAGCATTTTCCCTTTCATCAGAACCACAAGTGCCATCTCAGTAACTGTGGCATGCCAAGTTTTCCTCATCTCTGTGTTTTTGCATTTGCTCTTTTCATTGCCTGGAATTAACCCTTTAACCCAAACAAACCAGTTGCCATGGTGTCAATTCTGATTCACGGTGTTAAGGTAGAACTGTGTTCCATAGAGGTTTTTTTTTTCTTCATTCATTCACTCATGTGTTTATTCAAATGATCTAAGAACCTGGGTTTGTTTTGTCAGGGCATTGAGTTCCACACGATCTTTGCAGCTTCATCAGTTCTGCAAACTGGTTCTGGCTGACTTCCCCTCCTCCTTACCTAAAAAGGTACAGAGAGTAAGGTGAACAGCTAAACATATACTTCATTCCTGCAACAGAGGAATAGAGAAGAACAAGAAATAACCCAAGTGCCTTACTATGTATGATGGATGGTTCCCAAATCTAGTTGATTATTAGCTTCACTTTAAAACCTCTGGGGAAAGAAAAAGAAAAAAAAAAACTTTTTTGAATAATGTAATATAAGCTAATGAAACATTCAAACAGAACAAACTGGTATACAGTGAAAAGTCTCTCCCCCGGTACCAGGCCCTCAGCTCTCTCTTAGAGGTAACCCTTGTTATCAGTTCATGTGCATTCTGTGTCTCTTAGTTTGCTGGGTGTGGGGTGAAGAATTACTTTACCCAAAGAATTTGGTCTTTGTCCCATGTTTCTGGGAGGTGACCTATAAACCTCTGGAATTTCCTGAAGGGTTGGAGTGTCCTTGTTATTCATGGAGGGCTTGAGAACAAACTTGACAGTTTATGCTAATGAATTACTTCCAGTCACTAGAGTTTTCAATGGCTGATTTTTTCAGAAATAGAACACCAGTCTTTCTTCTAAGGTGCTGCTGGGTAGACTTGAACCTCCAACATTTCAGTTAGCAGGCCAAGGACATTAACTCTTTGCACCACTCAGGGACTCTCACCCCAAACAAGCCCTCCATTCAAGTCTGCCCTCTCCTCATCCTTCTGATCTCGATTTAAAAGTCACTTCCTCATCGAGGTAGTCCCTACTGCCCTATTTAAAGCGACCCCTGCAACAATTACTCTCCATCACCTCACCATGTTTATGTCCTTCAGAGAGCTTTTTACAAACTGTAATTTTTACTTATTGCTTACAGGTTTATTTTCTGTGTCTCCAGCTAGAACAGTAAACTTCATGACAGCAGAGACTATATCTTGCACATCATTGTATTCCAAGTTCTTAGCACAAAGATTATCTCAATAAATATTTGGTGGATGAATAAATGAAGCAGTGCTAAAAAGCAAACAAAAGTCATGTGAGGGAGTGATAGGATTGTTATCTAATTTTAGAAAGAAAACTCTTAACTTTTGATCAATGTGCTAGATGGAGCTAATGATAGAAGTGCCTCCTGCACAGCAAGCACTGGGAAATGCTGGATAAAATAGAACAAAGCAATTTTAATACACAGTGGAACTTGAAAGCAATAAAGGAAAATCCATGAATGCTATAAACAAAAAGGTAACTCAAAGCCTAAGTAGTGAGCAGGAACTGAAGCCTAAAGGAGCCAGATACAGGCCTGAGAAGCAGTGTTACAACTGCTTTGGAGACTATTTGGCAGTATCTCATACAGCTGAATATACACATACACTAGATTTACCTCCTCTGTTCCTAGGTATGAGGAGCCCTGGTGATGCAGTGGTTAAGTACTCAGCTGCTTACAGAAAGGCTGGTGGTTTGAATCCACCCAGCAGCTCTGCAAGACAAAAGATCTGACAACCTGCATCTGTAAAGATTACAGCCCAGATATGGAGGGAAACTTTCTTTATTGGTTACCAGGGGTGAGGGGTAAGGGGTGAGGGGTGAGGGGAGGAAATACTGCAATCAATCAATCAATCAATCAATCAATAAAGGATTGTTGTTGTCAGGTGCCATCAAGTTGGCTCTGACTCATAGTGACCCTATGTACAACCGAACAAAACACCTCCTGATCCTGTGCCAGCCTAACAATACTTACTATACCTGAGTCCATCGTTGCAGCCACTGTGAGATCGATCCATCTAGTTGAGGGCCTTCCTCTTTTTCGTTGACCCTCCACTTTATCAAGCATGATATCCTTCTCCAGGGAGTGCTCCCTTCTGACAACAGGACCAAAGTAGCTGAGATGAAGTCTGGCCATTCTCACTTCCAAGAAGCATTCTGGCTGCACTTCGTCCAAGACAGATTTGTTAGTTCTTTTGGAAGTCCATGGTACTTTCAGTATTCTTCGCCAACAGCACAACTCAAAAGCATCACCTCTTCTGTGGTCTTCCTTATTCATTATCCAGCTCTCATATGCATATAAGGCAACTGAAAATACTAGGCGCACCTTAGTCTTCAAAGAGACATCTTTGCTTTCCAGTACTTTAAAGAGGTCTTTTGCAGTAGATTTGCCCAGTGCAAAACATCATCTGATGTCATGACTGCTGCGTTGATTGGTGTTGAATGTGGAACCAAGTAATATGAAATCTTTGACAACTTCTATCTTTTCTCCATTTATCATGATGCTGCTTACTGGCCCAGTTTTGAGGATTTTCATTTTATGATGAGATGTAATT